TTATATTTGAATAAAAATATATGTATGCTTTTACGATGAATTTATACATACAATATAATTTGATCGTAAATATTTCTTCTGTCATATATTTCTTTAGATAATGCAAGAACTGTTTGCTGATAAACCATGGATACAACCCTTATCAGTGGCAGGGTCACATGTAAATGAGACAGAGGAAAAGGAGAATATATTAAAAGAAAGAGGTAAGATACAGCATTTCTTGTACAGATAGTGAAATACATTACACTTTACAGTTTTATATCTAATATTTATGGTTGTGGTTGTAGGAATTAAAAGAAAAAAGAAGTTAAATGCATTTATAGAAGAATATATATTAAATAATGAGGAAGAACGAAAAAGAAGAAGAGAAAGTCGAGAAAAAGAGCACAAAGAAAAAATGCTTTGCTTCAAAGGAATACAAGATGTATTGCAACGATTACTAGAAAAAGAAGATAAAAGCACTTAAACTCAAGGTTTATCAAAATGTGATAAATAAGTATAAGTTTTATAAAAATAAGTTACAGTTTACGAAATAGTTAAACTTTATTAATAGAAAAGTTATAAAATAATGTTCAGGTTTTTAAAGTATATCAAAGCGCATAAAAAAGATAGATGTTTTATTTTTTTATTTTGTTTCTAAGTTAGAACATTCATGCTAGTTTCTGCCAATGTCGATTAAAAAGAGATTTATAGAAAGAATGGATTGCGCGCGCACGCGTGTGAGTGGACCGAGATTAAAGTTACTTTACATTGATGAAAACGACATTGAACGTTTCAAAATATTTCAAAATGTGATACATACAAACATGTGATATATGTATATGATAAGTAAGCTTATTATTTCATAAAAGTATATTACAGTTTACAAAAATAATTAAACTTTATTAATAGAAAAGTTACATAAAATAATGTTTGCATTTTTGAAGATATAATGTAGCAAACGCACGTATAAATAAGGGTAAATACTTATTTTTTATTGTACTTCTGAGTTAGAACATTTATGCCCATTTCTACGTAGATTAAAGTAGTTTCTTTTAAGTTATTTGCAGTGCTGTGAATACCGTTCCGTTATAGCAGCTGCAGCTAAGCATAAAAATAGTATTATCAATATCGGAACGGTTTTACAGCACTGCTTTATGACATCACAGCATCAGTACTGACAGTACATATCGGAACGCACCCATAGTGTAAGGCCAATATTTCATTTGTGCGTTTTTGTCATACGACAAATGTGTACAAGAGGTCCTCGGATCTCTCTATCCTATAGCCAATCAACACGCAGGAAAAGCTTGTCATACGACAAAAACACACAAATGAAATATCGTCCTAATACAGTGATATCCTAATTGTTTGCTAATGTACGAAGATGACATGATCACTGTCACACTGTGTCGCTTTCTGAAAAGCAACAACAATGTGTCAATAGATGCATGTATACATTGCACGTGTATTTATAGCTGCTCCATCTGTTCTTGTTATTTCTAATAAAAAGAAATAAAAGTTATAATAAAATATTTTAAGATATTACTCTGATATGTGTGTAATATACAATATACACTAAAAATATCGTAAATCTATAATATACATAAATTCAAATTTTCAGTATCGATAGTGTATGTCAATACACGGCCGTAGTAGCACTTTTTTCTAAATTCAATGCCATTTTAGGTCAGTATGTAACAGGATAATAACACGTATAATCAATACATACATGTATCACATATATACATGTAACTACTCCGTCATTTTTTGCTATATCTAACAAAAAGAGACAAAAATTTGCTATGCCTAAATAGACAGTTCTTACTGATATATGTGTACTTATATATACTGTAACCGTACTCGCGAGCAACGGCACAACTTCGTCGCGCGTTCTTGGTACTCAAAAGTACGCAAAAGTATCTTCTCTCCCTCGGTAGCAGAATTTTGCGACAGCCAGGCGGTTTTTCGGCCAAAATTGTAATTCTTATTCTAAGTTGGGCGCCAGGCACGAGAGAGCGTTTCACGGTAGCCGCCGAGCGTGATCCGTGGCGCGTCTACGCTTCCTGATACGCTTGGTCATTACTCATTACACAAAAGAAATGCTAATATAAAGGAGAAAATCTGCCAAGTAAAATAAATGACGCGAATTCTAACGCACGTTCGCAGGTGCGTTTGCACGCGAGCTCGCGTGCGCGCTCGCCTACGCGCTCGCCCTTCGAGCCGGTAGGAAGCGCGAGTCCGCCTTCGACGAGTCCGCACAGTGACGGACAAAATGTCACGTCACAATACAATATTAGGATATTGTATGTATGTACATACATATTATAATGTGTGACTACATACACATTACAGATAAAAATTATTTACACATAGATATTCGTGCAGATATTCTCCATGTCTGTTTATACGCAGCCAATATTTGAACTTTATATGTATTACAATGGGTGCGTTGGTCTATAATTTTAGATCTAACAGAATATGTCAATCAGATGCAAGAGCTCACTGAGCGCTCAGTGAGCGGTCATGCTTCTGGATGCACCTAATGTGTGTGCATGTATACACATTAATTAAGTATTCAGTTTAATTCTAACATATAACTATATAACTGTATAAGAAGATATATTAGTGAATATGTACAATTACATTTTATGTGTATTATAATGTATAAATACATACACAAAAAGAATTATTCTAGAATTGCATATATATCACTTATGCATTTATATGCAATAATAGAATAATATTTTGTGTACACTGATCTATGTGTGTATATGTGCACACATTATTATATAAAATGTAACTGTACTTCATATTTACTAATGTCTGTTTATGTAATAATAAAATTAAACTGTATGTATACATACACACACATTATACGATACACATAAAATTCTAATATTATGTATAAATAGATATACAGAATATCTGCACGAATATTTCAGCATGTGTCTATGTCTAATGTATGTATATTCACATAATTACGATAAAGATGCATTATTCGAATGTTGTACATATGAATACAGATATAATATTACTGATGTATTCATATGTACAACATTAGAATAATGCATCTTTATCGTAATTATGTGAATATACGCACGTTAGACATAAACATTACACATGGTGAAATATTCATGCAGATATTCTGTATATCGTATCTATTTATACATAATATTATAATTTTATGTGTATCGTATAATGTGTGTGTATGTATACATACAGTTTAATTTTATTATTACATAAACAGACATTAGTAAATATGAAGTACAGTTACATTTTATATAATAATGTGTGCACATAGATCAGTGTACACAAAATATTATTCTATTATTGCATATAGATGCATAAGTGATACATATGCAATTCTAGAATAATACTTTTTGTGTATGCATTTATACATTATAATACACATAAAATGTAATTGTACATATTCACTAATGTCTTCTTATACAGTTATATACAATTATATGTTAGAATTAAATTGAATATAGCAAATAGAGAGATACAAATTTCTCATGCTCAGATATTCACGCAGATACATTTACACGAAGTATTAGACTTTTCTGAGTATTATAATGTGTGTCTGTATGTATGTATGTATGTATGTATGTATGTATATACTTCTATATATATAAATAATAAATATAAGTATATATACATACATACATACATACATACAGACACACATTATAATACAGAGACATGTGAGTGAATATTAGAATGATATTTTATGTGCATTATTATGTACACACATTACAGAACATAAAATGTATTTCTAATTCATATCCACTATGTCTGTTTAGATGTATTGAAAATATATAAAATGCACATAAAATTCCAGTACATCTAAACAGACATAGTGAATATGAATTAGAAATACATTTTATGTTTTGTAATGTGTGTA